CTATACAACTGGTTTTCTAATTGTTTGAAGTTTGCCTGTATTTAATCTCGTTAAATCTATCTGGAACTGAATAAAACAACCGTACACGAGCATGGATATCTTACCACATCACAAACAGCTAACAGAACCACAGATAGCATACAGGTTTCAAATGAACACAGCAGTCAGGAACTATTCTGAATATCCTACATCTCCAAATACCCTTACCTCCACCTGTCCAAAAGTTCAAATGCTTGAACACATAAGTGACACTTTTCATGACATGATTTTGGAAAGTCAAAGAATTCTACTACCCATCAACCAATCATACATTTTCAGGGAAGCTGAACTTCAGGGTGGCACTGAGCATTTTGTTTCGGCTATGGAAGGTTAATTCACGGAAATATTTATTTTGATAGTAAATTCTTTTGTCCTTGTTTTACTCCTAGATCTGACTACTGTTTCTATTACAGTCATTTTTCGCAGCAGAATAATAAACTTCCTCATAGCAGCCACCGAAATCTTCACAGAAATCCATTTTACATCCCCGACAGCAGAAATTCTACCTGGAATCCCTGTGTTTGTCCCCCACAGTGTTCACCGAGAGTAAATTGTCTGCACTTTGATGAGTCACTGAGACTAATAAGCCTTATTATTGCATAAAGAGAAAGAACGAACACTTTTTTTTCCAGCTCCCACGCAGTAGGCACCTGGTAAATACCATATTAAGACAAAGAGATGACCAGGCCTACTTCAGAAATCTGACGCACAAGCTGATGCTACAAAACGCAGGCAGGCTGTCACAGGCGCACTGCATGTCAGGTTTGTGTTTCTGTAATGTGAAACACCGACGTGCAGAACACTTGAATGAAAATAGCAGTCTAACTATCCTGCAGTTTGACCTTGCGTGGCTTAAAACCACATTGCGTTTCACTTCAAATCCTAACGGGACGTCCGTGTGCAGAACACCGTTAGATTCACGATCGCTGTGCCGAAATCCTCAAACCAAACGGCAGCCTGGCTGGAGCCGTGAGACACCAAAGCCCAGAGAGGAATCAGAACGCTTGATTCAATCGCAGCGTTTGCATGTTTTTAAATTTTACCAATAGCGCTCAGCTATGCAAATACGGGAAATAACTTGAGGGTGACTGATCATATTACCTACCTGTCTCTCAATAAACCCGTGCTCTCATCCAGATTATCCTACCAATCAGGTTACCGTCCTCAACACTATGAAGGTAAATAACTGGACAAGCGTTACATGGTAGGAAACCCCTAGCAACTGAACACAAGAACAGTTATACAAGGGTCTTTTTTGGCAATAACTTCATTCCTAAAGAATTGTGTCATACTACAGTATATTAGTGAATATACTATTAATGTGAATTACAAAAAAAACATCCTTCAGTGTTTTACAATTACCAACCAAAATGTTTAATCATTTTTAAAATTATTTATATGACGCTCACGTAGTTATTGTTATAAATGTATTTAAACATGATTGAAGACTTTGCTAACAGGAATAAGGCTGGACTCTCCTGTGAAAACAGCACATGGGGCCTTTCCAGGAGCTGCACTGCAGATAATATCCCAGCGCCGGCACACAGCTTCGTGATTACACAACAAATTAATTCACTTTTCTACCTTTTTAAAACGGCTTTATACATCTTTTGAGGCACGATTCAGGCTGGAATACAGGAAGGCGTGTAAAACGAACTAGTGGCAAACATGCTTTAACGTCGTGCTTTTGTGTTGGACCAAGACAGGAAATGAAGCCGTTATAAATAACCCTCAAAGTGCCGCAGGACGGAGGTGAGGACAACACCGGGAGTCCCTTCCTTACCGCCCCTGGGCACCGAAGAAAACAACCCGTTTTAGATTGTTTTCAAAGCGGGCTGATAGTGACAACCCTCTTAGCTCAGACACGTAAGCCAGAGAAGGGATCGGGCATTCAGGAGCTCCTGATCCATAAAGCACAGTCTTGGAATGCACAAGAGAAACACTAGCCACTATTTCAAGGATCTGAAATAATGTGAACAAATAAAGTATTATCGCCACAAGCAGCGTCGGAGGCAGCCCACTCGGACTGTCTTGTAACGCTCATTACGTGACCCGATGACCCACGCAAGCCTTCCTCTCTGCCCTTGGTGAGAATGTAGTCGCCGCGTAAAGAGACAACCGGAAGCAGCACACTGGAGAGAGCTATATAAAAAAGACACGTGGTTAGCGCTACTAATCATGTTGTTGTGGTTTTTTTTTTGTTTTAAACAAAATGTAAATAGCCCCCACAAAAGAGTATAGTCACTCGAGACCTCACTGAATACTGAAGCGGACCCAATGTCTCCAGTCACCAGCAATGACAGAATCCGTGATCTGCTCACGCTCTACAAATAGAGACCACTATTTAGTCCATCACACCACCTCATGAACAGTCCTAAAGAAAGACTGTGGACTAAATCACACCGAGGGGATCTCTGACTTCCGGAAAGCATGCTTATTTTTCAGAATGTCTGGTCGGTTTCACTGGATACACTCCGAGACAAGGAGTTTAGACTGACACATCGCCACTGTCTGGAAGGTTAGAAAGTTGCAGCAAATGGGCCGTGTATCAATAATGACGCCATCATTCTTTTAGAACGACGTTCCGTTTGCAAACGCTGGTGCCTTAAATAACATCGCTGCTCTGCAGGTCATGAAAACACCAGGAGAGCTGCGACTAGACATTTCTGCTGTGGGGATGATGGTGCTGCCATTGAAACCCTTGTCTGCCTAACTCTTTAAACCCTCCTGTACGTGATGTGTTCTGAAATGTATTTATAAGCTGCATATATCCAGATGCGGTGGTGGCTGTTCTTTTGAAACGACAGCCATGCATCTTCCTGCTACAGCAATGAACTGAATGTGTAGTTGTGTTTGGCAAAAGCTTCCAATGTGTGTAGCTCGTTGCTATGGCAAATGTTATTCCCTATAGTACAACGTGGTTGCTTCACTGCTCCTGAAATATTTTGCGAGAAAAAGCTGCCCGGTCTGACAGAAATACAGAGGCAGCCAGAGACAAATGTGCAAAGCCTCAGTAACGTTACTGCAACTAAATCAATGCTAATATTATTTCCACTGGGGGTAGGCTGAAGTTTCTCGAAAACTTTTGTTTTAGCTCGAGGAATAAAACCTCTTGCCACATCCGAACATCCACGCCAGTGAGAAGTTAGCTTTAACTGTTCCTCAACGACATGGGCCCAAACCAGAAGTCATACTCTGCTTTAAAATGAACACATTGTTCATTAACATCAAACGAGTGGGTTAACCCTATTCATAAATCAGCCACGCATTCGTCGTGTATGCCGTACTGTAAATAAACACACTGGGAGTATACACACGCAGAGAAATCGTTGTCATTTCCCTCACTAACAAACCGTTTTAAATATCACCTTTGACTCCCGCGAACAATTCCTTTGATTAAAGGTAATGACGTTGTAAATTGCTTTTCCTTTTCTATGACTTGAGGTCAATAGTGGTGCAAACGGGAATCAAGGCAGATCGGTGCAACTCCAGTGTGACAGGCTACAAAATCCGACATCGGAGGACGCGAGAGCCGGTGACGGTGGCTGATGTCTGGTAATGAGCGCTTCGCGATTGAACGCTAAAGACAACACAGGCATGTTTGCACATTATCACTCGATGTTTCAAGTATAGCTACTGTCTTTTCCGGACTGTGGAGATGTAAACAACAGCGCAGACCAGACAAATAAAGACACGCAGAAATCAGAGCAAGGGACATACAGTGTTCAGGTGTTTCTCCTTCTGAAGGGGAAAGTTGACCCTTCCTTCTTAATGATATTTGTTTCTGAATGCCAAACGCGGGGATACTGTAATTGCTGGTGACTGGAGATCTGGGGGATTTGTGCAAATGATGTTGACTACACAATTAACAAAAATATCCTGAATAAATGACATAGCAGAGGAGTCACTCTAAACAGCTAAAAAAAAAAAACAGAATAAGATAAAAAGGTCTTAGAAAAGAAAAAGAGTTTGGGCGGCGAGGAGAAGTCGTTTCCCTTGCTGGGCAGGAAGAGCTACAGTACATAACGGCAGACGCCGGACGCCCAGATACACGCAAGTGCTACAACTACACTTCCTGAAGCCCATTTCCTCGCCTCTCCGCATCTTGCGTTAGCCGACAAAAGTGGGACGAGACGACCCCGGGTGCCACAAGTCTGTCTCAAGACAAGACAAGGTTCAGTCAGGAACAGAGCCGGGGGAGAAGAGAATTCGTCACCCCCCTCATCACGAGGTCACTGAAAAACCCAGTCGGTTTATGCTGCATTCCGCGAGTTATGTAGCATTATTTCCAGGCGCCGTGACGTTTGGTTTCGCTACCTTATATAATAAAGCCACTGACCGAGAGATTGCGCGGCGCAACTGTACCACCGGAGGACCAAAGGTCACGTAAAGCAAACGAGCTTGGTCCGGGAGCTACCTGTGCACGCGTGTGCGCCTGAAGGCACCGGGACACACCGGGATGTTCCTCGGATGCGCTCCGCACGGTCCCGGCGGCACACACCAGCGCGTCACCCTCCACCTCTTCGTTTCACGGCGAGCGCAGAGGGTGCATCGCCTACACGCACCAGTGCAGACGCGCACGACACTGTCCCGCGGTCCCACCAAAACAAAACAGCCCAGGAAAAGTTTCCCTTCGGTGCAAACCAGCAGAAGTCCCGGTGTCGCCATAAACACGGACCCATGTCTTCCCATTCCCGAACACTGACTTACAGCGGCGGTTTAAAAAGCGCGTTTCAGCAGCAGGGCGCTTTAGTGACGCCGCTGCGGTCCGAACGGTTACAGACAATCACCCCAGACAGGAAAAGCGCAAACCGGTGGGTCCAGCTGACCTCGGAGCTAGGACAGGGGGGTGAAGGGGACAGGAGCACCGGGAAAACCGGGATCCTCCGCCTGCACCAGCAGTCGGTCAGACGCCCCCCGATAGCGGCGGTTTCTGACTGTATCGACACGCAGATCCTCACCTGCGGATTCTCCAGTGTTAATCCAATCCGGATTCGCGATGCTGGCGATGGCAAAAATGTCGGCAGCCAGGAAGAGGCATCCTGAAATGATGGTGAGTTTATCCATATCGCACGTACGAGCCCCGGGGCCGTCAGAGAGCCGCGTGGGGGTCAATAAATAGAGCCAGGCAAGAAAGAGGGGATCCCCGTCTGCACCCCGTGTCTTTAAGCAGGTTTGTCCCCCAGCATAAAGCGGAATGACCACTCGCTGTCTGTGAAGTCTCTCTCTCCACCTCCCCCAGCAGAAGGAGACTGGGTTAGAGCCTCAACCTTCCATTATCTTCATCGCCGCAGATGTTGTCCTCTCCCGACGGCTGCCTCCCCAAATTTACCATCCATGTAGATGAGACCCCAAAATAAAAAAAACCCGCAGGAAAGTCTTTTTGCGTTGTTGTTGTTGTTGTTGTTTTTTTTTTTAAAGGGGGAAACAATCACATCTCCCCCTGTGTCGCTCGCCCCCTGCTCCTGCAGCGGGGGGGAAGCCGGCGTTCAGGCGGAGGAGGAGGCCCGGGCGAGCCCCGCCAGCCTGTCTCCGCTGCCCTGGCCGCGCAGCAGCCCGCTCAGCCCGGCTGCCCGGGTCCGCAGAGCCGGGCTCCGCAGCTCCGCAGCTCCGCGCCTGGGAGAGCGGCCCGGCTCTCCCGCATCCACACACAGCTGCGCGCAACGCTTCACCCGAGAGCAGCCGGGACACGGGAGAGAGCAGCGAGGACAACGCACAAGCCCGACTGTCGATCTATCTGGGAGAGGGATCGAAGACAATAAACACGACCGATCCCTTAGCCCGCTGCGGAGCGAGCGTCCATCCTTGTGCTCTCCCTCTGCGTCTCCTCTGGGCTTTTTTTTCCCCCCTCTGTGTGTTGCCCCCTTTTTTTTTTCCTCTCTCCTTCCCTGAAATCCGATCTAATGAAACACACTCCCCTCCAGCAGCTCCGGCTGCTCGGCTGCGCGAGGCAGAGGCGGCGTCTCCCCCGGGCTCGCGACCGCCGTCAGATTCCCCTCGCGCCCCGGCTCTCGCTCTCCGGCCCGGCCGTCGCCGTCGTCGTCGTCGTCTCGCTCGCCCGCCGCGCTCCGCCGAGCCAGGCTCGAGCCCATTGACATCCAGCGGCTGCACGCAGCGCGTTCCCCAGGCACACGACGGCCCTCCAACATCCCGTCCGGGGGACAGCCGGTATCGCGAGAGCTGCGGCGCCGGACCGGGGGGGAGCGGGGAGAGGGGCCGGACAGACGGAGGTGTGATTGCACAGGGCTGCTTCACCGTCAGCCCTCCCCACACAGCACCGGCCATTAACCCTTTTCACAGCATTAGACCATGAATGGGGGGGGGGATTCATATGCTCAGTTTTGGGATAGAGACTAAATTAGGGCTTGAAAGCCCCCCTGTGCAGCCTCAAGTGGAGGTACTACAGTGGCCGGCCGCTGGGCGTGTTGCGGTTGCTGTAGACGAAGGGTTTTGCAGTAAAACGCACGTTTTTTTTGTAGAGGGTTGGTGTGAAAAAATACTTATGATCATGTCAGCCCTCCACCGCTCTGCTGTCCGTTAAAGGCTTCCCTCGGGCGGCTACCTCGCACCCTTGTCTCAACCTGTCCCTCACCTCCCCCCCCGATCACGGCCCGCCCTCGCCCCCTGGCCTAGAGCGATCTCCGCCCCCCCCCACACACACACACTCAGCGCTGCCCGGAGTGTCTGGCGACACCCTGTCGGGGAAAACTTGCTGTCAAACACTTTAATCTCCCAGCTCCAGCCTGCTAGGAACTGCTTGTACTGCTCTGACCGGTCATATCACCGATTTAATTCCGCCGATGCTCTTATCCAAAGAGCTTACTCTCACCATCCCCATCATCGCCATCGTCATTATTGTTATTGTTGTATACAGATGGGTATTTTAATCAATCTGAGTGAAGGACCCTGCTCTACAGTACCACAGCGGTGTCCCACTGGGAGTGTAGCCTGCTAATTTGCTCCTATTCACTGCAAACAAGGAACAAGAACCGGCTGGTCGTTTATCGGCCTGCTGTGTGTTCACACTCTGCGCGCTGTCTTGGGGTTTTGAACCATATCTTGGTCTTCCAGCCTGTGCGAGTGAAATTTATTTTTGATTTATGCCCTTGCTCGATCGTTCTTCGTATGAAACATTTGATGTAACTGTTCCATAACGAAAGCTACCCGGAGTGTGTGACAAACACACGCACAGGATATATTCTCTAAGAAGTCGTATGAAAGATTGCAAGATTATATATATATATTGCAGGATTTATGACACTCAGATATGCAATTTTCAGATCAACGAAAGCCACAATGGAGAATCACAGAACCCACAAGTGTGAAAACATGTTCACCTGAAGCAACGAATATAAGATTCCTGTCTTTCTGTAGGTGGCCGACATGTCAGCTCGGCGATCTGTTCCAGACCCCCACAACTCTTTGTGTAATGCTTGGCCTCTTCACCGCATTTCTTCTTGCTTCCCACTCGAGTGCTCCGGCATAGGTTTCACAGCTGAACCTGAAGAAACCCACTGGGGTCGACTTTGCCCGTTTAACTGCCAGACATTTGTATGCAGTGCTCGGGTGAGGGGCAATTGTGACATTCGTGTTCGTTCAGTTCTCAAACGTGGACAATTGTGTAAATATATACTCCAGGCAACTACCAGCTGTACTGCACCGAAGGAGAACTACCCTCAGCCTGCGGAAATTGTGAGCCACTAGCGACCTCCAGCGGCTCCATCCGAAACTAGCCGTTTCTTCGCGCCCCCGTGTGCTTGAATCACTGCGTTCACCGGGGATCCTTTCCGCCTTCGCTGCAGCTGGGGGAAACACGCGGCATCGGGTCTTACGGGCCCCCGGGTGGCGACGGGTTCGATCGAGGTTTTCGTTCAAAAACTCTTCGCGTGCGGTGCTGTCGTCACCTCCAAGTCGGTCGATTGGGAAGCGGGCGAGGCTCGGGGCGCGCAGGGGGCCGTCATGAACTGGCTGAGAGAAGCGCTGGCACTGCTGAGGGGCACGCCGCCGTACCCTGAAGCCAAAGGTAGCTTTACACACGCTGCTTCTCCATTTTCTGTCGAGGCAGCCGAAGCGCCGCCACCCCATGCACGACCGTGCGCCCGGCGGTGCTGCCTGCGCCTGCTAACGGGTCTCTCTCTTTTCTCGGTGGTGTCCCCGAGGCCCGGAGGCGCCCCCCGCTCACACCTTGGGGCAGGTGGTGCAGGCGCAGGTGAGGGTGGGGCCGCAGGGCTTGGGCCTGAGTCTGCTTAGGAACGGGCCCTTCCTGCAGGTCTGCGGGCTGAGCCGCCCGGGACCCGCCGGGCAGAGCGCGCGGCTGCAGCCAGGTAGCTACCGGCCGGTGGAGGAAGAGGAGGAGGAGGAGGATGGGGGAGGAGCGGCGGCAGGTCAGGGAGGTCGCTTGGTCGTTGGGTACAAGCCCTCTATTAACAGCTATGTTCCTGCTCGACGGCTAATAACGACGGGGACACGATACTGTAAAAATCGATACTGTATCGGATCCTTCCGATGAGACTTAAAACCGAGATCCTGACTCTCTGTGGTCATTAAGAATCCCAGGGCATTTCTCGAGAAGATTAGGGGTGTTATCCCAGCGTCCTGGCCAAATGTCCCCCTGGCCTTTACCAGTTATGGCCTCCTAATAATCCCCCTCTCTGAACTGGCTTCATCACTCTGCTCTCCTCCCCACTGAGAGCTGGAGTGTGGGGAGCGGACTGGCGCATCATCCAGGTGGGGCTGCACACTGGTGGTGGTGGAGGGGATCCCCATGACCTGTAAAGTGCTTTTAAGTGGAGTGTCCAGAAAAGCGCTATAGAAATGTGATGAATTCTTATTATTAATAATATTGCAGCAGTGTGCGTCTTGCTCTGGCTGCTCTCTGTGTAACCCCAGAATCACCCTACTAAGGTTGCTGGCGCGTTGTTAGACAAACCCACCCGGATTCGGCAGCCCGGTGCTCCAGCCGCCCTCAGGCCCCACTGTCCCTGCAGGCGACGTGCTGGTGGCAGTGGGAGGACGGGACATTCGGGGGCTGGGGCTGAGGGAGCTCGGGAAGGCCCTCCGGGACGTCGCCCCCGGGACCCTGCTGCGAGTCCTGGCGTACCGAGACGTCCTCCAGCTCCCTCCGGGATGGGACACCGGCGGCGCAGCAGGACACCGGACTGACAGGTCTGCAGCTGGTGGCCAGGCAGGGCCTTGTTTCAAGTCGCGGGGGTCCGGAGTACGGCCACTTCTCGCTGCTGGCCGGAGCCCGAGACCGAGGGTGGTGACTTCTGTCTCACGCTACAAAGATTTAGGCAGCGGCCTTCATGCACAATTCGGCTCTCTTACTGTAAACGAAGGCATTTACAGCACTGAAGGGGTATTTGGGGGACAGATTTGCTCGAGTAACCTAGTGAACCCAGAAGCATGGAAACCCTGGTCTTTAGTGCCGTTGGTCTAGGAACTGTTTTGGGGTATTCTTCACAGGCGGCCTGCGTGACGCCTTTCGTTTCTCGGGGCCAAGTGCCGAGTCCACGGAGAAGGCCTTCTCAGGCCGTGCGAAACCCTGTTGTTCCTCTTCCCCAGATCCTGTCCCAGCAGTATAGAAAGGCTCGTGGGCGAGGCGGCGCTGGCCCAGCGGGGGCACTGTCCGGCGCACCTCTCGGACCGGCAGGCGGGCACGTCCGCGGCCCCTCCTGCCTCCAGCACAGTGGAGCTGACGGTGGGCGCCGGCCCCACCTGCGATGTGATGGTGCACAGGCAGGCCGGACCCCCCGTGACCTCCGACCTTGCCCAGCTCTCCCGCCCTCCTGCCCACTCACCTCCCTGTCCCGAACCACCCCCACCTCTCCAGCCGGCACCCTGCTGTTCTTCCTCTCCCTCTTCCTACAGGAGCCTTTCCTCATCACCCCCTCACTCATCCTACTCCTCCTCCTGCACCTCTGATCTCACACCCTCTTCTTCACCTTCCTCACATCCACCCGATTCGCTGCCAGCCGCGTTTTCTTCTGGCGCGTTGTCCTCTTCATCCTCAGACGACCAGGACGTCCATGTCTCTCCGCGACGCGTACGTGTTCACCTGACGGCACAGCTCTCTCTTCCCGACTTCAGCGTCTCCGGTTCAGATTCCTCAGGGGGCGACCGAGACTGAGGAAGGAGGGGAAATGTGCCGTTTCCGATGCCCGACGTGGTGATGGCACACTCTCCCGCAGCCAGAAAAACCCTGTAACCTTTAGTCGGAGTACCTGAAAATCAGATGAGGAATAGCTCTTGAAAAAGAGCTCACACACTGGAATGTTATTGGGAAATGGGGGGAGCAATTCATTCCTGACCTAGGCTAAAAACGTCGGTGAAAAACACCAGTTTGGGAAGTGTTTGTCATTTCATTTTCTACCCAATGCACAATTAAATATTTTGACCACTTCCCGTATGTCTTAATGTGTTTTTTTTCACTGAAGATTGCAATTCAATAGAGAGCATGGAAGCACAACAGGAAAACTAAGTAAAAAAAAAAGCACAGCTGCTTCGTACAACTGCTCTTATTACCATTAGCCTCCCCATTTCCACTTCTAGAATTATTATAAACCTCCACAGAGCCTTCAGATAGAGACGTTTTTAATGAATTTACAGAAGATATACAGAATGGCGGCCCAAAGGTAAAACCATTTCCGACGCCCGTACAGATGTGGACAGAAAACCTTCTTCAAAAAGGATAAATATTGTGTGATCGACAGAATGCAGCACGTTCTGTGCACAGAGTCATTACGGGATTAGAACCATTTCTAGGTTTGCTGAATGTGCAGCAGGGAAAAAAAAAACGCTTGCTCTTTTGATCTGAAAATTCCCGGTTCGATTAAATTCATAATTCATCCACAAACGGGGTGTTTCCCAGGTTCCCGCTGGCCGCCATGGACTTCTTGCCCGACACAAACTTTTTCGCCGCCTGAAAAATGGGAAGAAAAAAAAAAAGTCGGTAAAAACAGCAAACAAAATAAAGACTACATGATAAAACCACCCTCGATATCGTGACCGGGCGCTATGTTTTTAAAGGCCCCCGTTAAGGCTAGCAAGAAAAATGTAACCATATTCCTGAAATGAGTTTATTAGAAATCCTGAAACTGTCTGAAATTCACTCCTCCTTTCCAGATTATACTTGGACAAACTGCTGTGCTTCTACTGTGGACTTGCAGTTGATTTTTTTAATGGGCCTCAATCCAACCCAGGTAGTAGACACTGTAATGGGAGTCAGAGCTGACAGATGTCGTTATGCCCGAGGAAAGACAGCGTCCCCGAGGTACAGTCTAACGCCTTCCAGAGCGCCGTCAGGCTCCTCGTGCCCCTTGGCGAGCCGGTACGCCGGCGGGCAGCCGAACTCACGTTGACGACGTCGCTGGCGGACACGGAGTCGATCTTCTGCGCCACGGCCTCGGCGGGGACGTAGCCGCCCCCGGCCAGCGCCTGGGCTCCCATCTCCTCCAGCATGCCCTCGGAGCTCTCCGCCGCCATCAGGCACCGCGCCTTCAGCTGGTTCCTGCCGCGCAAAACCAGCGCAAAGTGAGCGGCGAGCTCGGCGCCTTACCCTAACCTCAAACACACTCAATATCATGTGGGCTTTTTACAGATGATGCATCAGGAGCACATCGTTAGCTGTGCGAATTAACTATAATCAAGAATGACATAAAACTAGTGAAGAAAGCACTGTAACACGTACTGATCTATAGATTTGCTTCATTTACGGCAAAAACGCACCTCCACCCATTAACAGAAAGCAGCTTCATGACAATTGTCCAGGGCGCACAGGGCAGAAGACGGGCCCACACTCTGGTTGGGTCACCCACCAGCCACGTGTGCATATGTGCGCCCACACATTACACCTAGTAATCTAGATGCACCCAGCGTAAGCCCACGCAGGCCCAAACAGAACACGCAAACTCCACCCAGAAGGCTTTCCCAGTCTGGGATCGAACCCAGGACTCGGGTCTGGGGAGGCAGCACTGCCACCTGCCACATCACCACGCCAGCCGGAGCCCAGCACATTCGTTTAGCCCTTTAACTTTTACTGCCCCCTTTCGTTAAAATCCCGTAAAACAAACACGGACAGGACAGTGCTTTCAGTTTTGACACACAACTGTATATCAGGATAATCAGGAACTGGCGCGGATATATTTAGGGCTGCCCCTTGCAAACATACTTGGCCCTGGTAACGTCCGCAGCAGTGAGCTGCCCCTGAGACACAGCTTTGACTTGAGCCACTGCAGCCTTGATGACCTGTGGGGTGGAGAACAGTTAAAGAGGCTCAATATATACAGTCGGTACAGTGTTATCGTGAACTCCAGCATGCCAGCGCAGGTGTACTACTACCATCCTGTTTCAAGCTCTTTGCTCCAGCTAATCCTTAGCTATCAGAGCAATCTGTATAAACCTGGGGCATTCAGCAATTCATTCTCTGGAAGGTTTAAAGCCCTGACTCTGCACAGAATGCACAATTCGAGGCTGACTGTTGCTGCACTAGCCTGTTCAAGTGAAATACCAGCAAGAGGGACGGCCAGCCCTGGTCCTGGAGACCCAGAGTCCAGCTGATCTTCTATATCACCCCAAAATCGTCAGTTTGTAAAGACTTGGAACAGACGCGAGTTTTGATCAGTTTAGCCAGTAAACCTGTGCAGGAATGGCCAGCTTACATTTCAGATGATGCCTAAACTGCTTCATCTCACAAAACACCAGCTCAAATGATCAAAACAAAACTGTTTCATCTCTAGGACGTTAGGTGAGCAAAAATAAAACAGATGGGCTGTTTTTCTCCACGGCCATAAGTGGCCATCCTTGTGTCCTAACAGTGTTTACTGGTTATTCTCAGACAGCAACATTCTGTAAACCTTGTTCCGGTGATGCAATATCAGAATTTTCTGGTTTCGAGTTATGTCCAGGGAAGCTGCATGGCCCACAAAGACATTCCTACACTTGCTCCGGGCAATTTATTGGTCTCTGACACTCACATCTGCAGCCTGGCTGGCCTGGGAGATAGTGTAGATCCCGAAGAGCCCAGAGTCAGTGTAGCTGGCGTTGAAGGCAGAAGCCTGCAGAAGAAGGAGAATTAGAAAGGTGGAGGTGCGTAAGAAAAGGTGTTTACATCATCACTAACGCCAGGCCTGTACTAGTTACATTAGCTACCTATTGTGCTTCATACATTAGGTTTGCGTCAACCAGCAGCATGGGTGGAAAACTGGTCTGAGGAAAGAAATGACTGTAAGAATACGATGTTCTTTCTACTGTTCAAGGCTTGCTTCCTCTTATGGATGTGTGTCGTGTGTGCAGTCATCCCAGGCCCGTGCTGTGCGGGTGCCATGCAGAGCACTGGCAGGACTCACATCGAAGGGCTGCGTGGTTGCCTTGGCGATGCCCTGGCTGAGCTTGCTGGTGGCGTTGGCGCCCCTCTTGACGTAGGGCCCGGCGCCCAGCACGTGCTGCAGGACGCTGAAGGCGCTGGCCTCGGGGCTGCCCAGCCCTGCCCCCTCGCACACCACGGCGGCGTGGACCAGGCTGTCTCCCGTCTGCTCCCGGACCTCCCCTGCCGACGGGGCACGCAGGACACGCGCGTCAGCGTCAGCGTCCGCGCGGCTCGGACTGGACCGGACGAACCCGCACGCTCGGCGGCCTTACCTCCGCGGTACGCCGCCTTGGCCCCGGCCGCCCCTCCTCCGCCGCGGATGTTGAGAAACTGCTCCCCCACCTGCTTCAGCTGGGCGTGGTCCACACCTGAGGGCCAGTCACACACCCGTCAGCGCCCCGGCGAAAGCAGCTCCTCCAGCGGGGACCGGAGCACCCCGCGCCTGCGCCGCCCTACAGCGCACCGGCTCACGGGAGGCAGATGCCACCCGCCCCGGCCATTTCCCCAACCTCCTTCCCGCTTCGGGGTCGCGGGGCCGCCGGAGCCTATCCCAGCAAGCAACGGGCACGAGGCAGGCAGGGGCACAGACGCACACGACTTTCCCCAGGAGTCAACTGACCTTCCAGAATGCCTCTGGACTGCGGGAGGAAACCGGAGCGCCCGGAGGACACCGGTTTCACCCACGCAGGCGGCACCCCCGGGCCCGGCACAGAACCCAGGACTCCAGCGCTGCGAGGCGGCAATACTGGCCGCTCTGCCACTGTGTGCTACCGTGCCGCAAGGAAAGCGGATTCCTCTCTGAAAAACACCACCACTCACCGAGGCCTACCAGAGCCATTCGTGCACTGGTGAAATTGTTCTGGACAAAGGAATGCAGCTGTGGAATAAAAGGAGGCAGAATAATCGTATTAGAGACCCATCTTGACAACTGTAACACGGCACTGCCAGACAGCGTTCACGAAGCAATCAGGGTGCGACTGTCTCACCTGTTCCGAAGTGATCTTGCCCACCATGTAGTCGGGGCAGTACAAGGAGTTACACAAGGCGGTCTTGTAAGCAGCTGCATGGAGGTTTTCAAGAACACCTACAAGACACAACAGGCCAGGAAGTTACAGAGAGATCTCTTAAACAAGTATAACAATGCCATTTAAAAAACGCTTTCTGCAACCATCCATTCTTGTGCTACTGATGTAGAAAACAGAAGCTGGGTTAAAATGACAGGCATGAGACAGAGGAGTAACCTGAAGGTTTTAATGTGTGCACTATCATATCTGCACACTTCTTTAACCTTTCTAAATGTACAGCACTACGCAAACTGTTATAATGATTAGTATGAAAAGTAACTTTTTACAGAATGCTTATTTAAACAAATCCAATATTTGCACATAGAACTGGCAAAAGACAATATTCAAATAACATTCAGAAATCGGTCACAGCAGAGCCTACACAAGCATTAAAAAGAGCTGAAGACTTGGCCAACCTCAGAGGAATATGATGAAGGCATATTCATCATATCACTCAGTATAACAGGGTCAGTATAACAGAAAAAAGACATTTTTTTTCCATACATAAAACAACAAAATCAGTCAGACTGATCAAAGTGCACAGTAATTTAGAAGAGTCGTGCTCAGATACCGGGTGTCACAGACAGTGGCTGCCAAGGACCAACAGATGAAGGAGCGGGGTGGTCTTCTGGAAGCTGTGACTCACCGATCTGGGGGTTCTGATGGGCCAGAGCTTTGTCCACCTCTATCCTGGGGGTGAGATCAGCTAACTCCCAGGGCCTGAACTCGGGCGCCGTGGTGACATTGATGAGATACTCCATAACCGTGTCTCTGCAAGACGAACACCCCACGTCACTGCACCGCACAGCTCACCTACACTCGAACACCTACTAGAACAGGACAGCACGGCCAGGGAGTGCATCAACGCTTTGATCGCTGCTTCCATAACAGAACGTTTCCTTTGCCTCACTAGTAATCACCACCAAGATAGTTTGAGATGGACTGATTCCAGGTAGAAACACCCTTTTTGAAATGTGTCAAATTATTGTATTGTGCTAAACTGTTATTTGGTTCAAGTACTGTAGGTAGCTGCGTCAGCATGCATAGCTCGCTTCAGCCAAAACGTTGTTTCCTTGCTTCTCTTTGCAGCATGGAATAAACCTTTACTTGTTCCTAAACTCTTTGGCTTTTCAGTTTGGCAATAATTTCACATTATTTTTTTTTAGTCAGTATAATCATATCAATGTATTTTTTTTTTATACGGTCACCCATCACTAATAAAAACTTTCGATTCACAGGCTGAACACCAGACTTGAGTCTCCCTGCAGCCGAGTTTGAATTCACTCCAGTTCCCTGCGGCGGGAAAAGGACAGGCACTCTGGAGCAGCTGTCAGGACTCACATGTGATCTCTCAGGCACTCCACCGAGTAGATCATGTTCTCCCTTGTGGAGGTCACACTGTGGACAATACAAGCATACACAGAGCACAGAATCAGTGAAACACAAAGCTGCACGGATACATATGCAGCAAGTAAGATTAACACAACGGCTTTCTGCAACAACTGATTAGTTTTTAGGTTTTTCTGCGTATTGCATAAGAACAGGATTCCAGAAACTGTGAACACACAGCAGCACTTCTCTCATGCCGTCACTGACCTCAGGGTGCCTCCCACTGCCTCAATCCCTCGAGTGATCTTAAACGCAGAGGCGCCCTTGGTGGTCTGGAAAAGATTAATATTGTTGACAGGACCGCCTTGCAGCAGGCCAATCGACGCTTCTTTTTTTATGATGTCACCTTTCCAATTCAAAAGATCCTCTGGATGACCTCAGGAAAAGTAAACCAGTTGCCACCAGCTGGTAAGGAGGCAGGGAAGTGATATCTCCCACCGGCTCACCCCCCCACCCACCCACCTCTGTCCCTAATACACATCCGTTCTGATGATCTGCGCACACGTGAGTGCATATCCGCAGGAGGCACTTCTTTACCCACAGGGTGGTGGAAGACTGGAACATGCTAAAACAGCTGGATGAGATCCTTGGATCAATTGTCTATTAACTACCAAACATAAACGGCAACCTTGTTCGCCACCCTTCTTATGCTCTTCAACACACGAGGACAGAGGTCAAAGGCTGCCTTCAGGCTTTACTGGTCAGTCTGCAGCAGAGGAAGGGGGGCCTTTGGCCGCACCTACCAGGTTGGCAGCGAGACGGAGGAGGTGGGTGACCCCCAGACTCTCCACAGTCTCGTACCGGCTGCCGGCTTTCACAAACACGCCGATCTTGGTGGAGGGGGAGTAGTTCTCCAGGGAGGCGATCACCAGGCCGCTGGGCAGCTTGGTGACCTGCGGACGCAAAGGCACGAGCGGATCAGACAAAGACTGCCCCTTGACACGGGACTGCATCACGACGCCGATGGTGATGACGATGATGATGGTGCCACTGAAATGGAGTTAGAGACAAAACCTCACCTTGCATTAATACGGCAGATTCCACTGCTTGTGCAAAGGGACAGTTAGGCAGATCATCCGTTAGAATGGAACTCAGGAGGCGGGTGAAAACGCAATTTTAAAATAACGGAAGTCGACAAGGTGAGGTCGTGTCCCAGAAATGAGTACAATGAAAGCAAAACGCATTTGTCTCAGGAAACATTTTGCAGAGTTCTTATTCAGCTATAACTTTATCAGTAATGAGACCAAAAGACACTGCTCTGCTCAAACCTAGGACATTTATTGCAGAAACTGTGTGTATTTACACTCTGCATACTGTATGTAACTATAGTCCAAGAGAGCCCATACTGGCAGACACCAGCAAGACTCGGCATTCAGGTGGCTTAAAGACTGGTTCTGCCAAACAGCCTCACAGAGACCATTCTACTCAAACCAGAAGGGTTAGCCATCATACTGCATCAAATGCATTCAAGGGGAGACCTATTTCATCCAGCACAGCAGAGCAGCTGCGAGAATCAGGGTGATCAAGGGAGATATTGCTCCTCCAACTGAATTAGAGGGGAAGTTCAGGCAGGCAGGACTGTATAAACCCAGAAAGGAATACAGCCAGGACTCTGGGGTAACACTACTCTTACCAACTACCCCCTACAGCACGATGGGTACAGTCACCAACTGGGGACATTATTGGTTTGGAAATTCTGGTCAGGAGGAAGGAGCTCCACCTGCTGGCCCACCAACGCCACTGACAACAGCAGCCTGGTTTTCCACAGGAGGTCTCCGGACCCAGTGCTGACCAGAGCCCAGCCTGCTGAGCGTCTGGGATCCCACCAGAAAAGGCTACAAGGCGGAGAGGCCGCCATCCATAGAAGACATAGGATGAGGACTGTGAACGCATGTAGGTGTTTTCCTGTTACGCCCTGAGGACAACCTACAGTGTGTAAATACACCTTGCCAGCAGACTCCCAGGACTCGCGCCGAGCACACAGACACTCTTCCAGCAAAACAAAACCCAGGAAGACGTCACCTCAGTGGAGACGCCCCGCTGGGCTGATTCCTTATTTTAACAACAGCCCCAGCAGTTACTCGGCAGCACCAGGCGCACACACGCGGACACACACACAGCCACCTGTGCCACTGGGGATTCCGCACGTACATGGATGTCTTGGGGGGGAAGGGGTGTCCCCACTGGAGCCCGGAGGCCCGGGAGCGGCTCGCTCAGAGACTGGTGGCCCCGGGCGGCCGCCGCCGCATAGAAGCGTCTCTGCGGGAGAGAGAGAGTCGTTAACACCCACTGACCTGCACGTCCTGCCGGGGGAGGCTAGCTCGCTCCACTGCCGCCGCGGCGTCGGGCTTGGGGGCAGCCTGGGCGGAGAAAACCCTCCTCTGCAAACCGGAGAGGGAACCGACAGGTTTAGATCCGCGCCCGACCCTCAGACAGCGTGTGCGGGCGAGACGAGAGTCACGGCGGTGGAGCGCTCATCAACCCCCCCCAGCAATGCGCCCGAACCTCAAAACCAAACCCCTTCACCTTTACTTCCACCTCACTGATGCACAAGCTGATTAACAGGCCTGTTGCCCTGGAGTGAAACTAGAAAACGGGAGCAAATCCTTGCGTACATCATCAGGAGCTGCCAAGCGTGCACAAGATGAAGAAGGGTGCACAGCCAAAACTTCTCCTTCCTTTAGCTTTTCAGCAAGGAACTCCCACTTCACCTGCCCAGTCTAACCCCCACATGCCTGCTGTTTGGGTACTAGCCAATGACACAGGACAATGCACCGTGTTTTAGAGACATCACACTTGTTTCCCTCTTGGCCTCCCAGATTGCCACCTGACTAATCCACAGCACCTTTAGCGAAAGAACTGTTCTGACTCCAGAAGATTGAGCCTGGTTAAAAAAAAAGCTGTTTTCAAATCCCCCCAAAAAAACCTTCATGACAACACATAGTTTAGCAGTATTACTGCATTTCGGGGCTGTAAGACACACAAAGCAAAACCTAGTTGTGAGTCAGACATGGACACTGTCTTAGACACACCAGATCTGGCCGTCTGAATTCGACCGGTGCTCTGTGGACGCTGTTCATGGAGACCATCCACGTTACAGCGAGACCTCAGGTGGAGATACGAGTCAGATGGCTAAAACGGGAATACATAAATGACCTTCACTACAGCTTTCTTAGAGAATCCACAAACCAGTACTTCCGACACTCCAGCCCACCGTATCCTTTCAAGGCAAACCGCTTCTTGTGAACATGTACGATTTGGCAACGCAATTTTAAACAACTCTGTTTAGTTAGCCTGGGTCATGATGGAATACATTTCTTAAATACTTTTTTAATTTCATTTACAGCTAATGACACCTCTCTGAGGTGCTGTACTCCGTGCAATGTCGCTCAACACAGGCCGGGTTTCAACGACACAGCTAGTTTTCTTCCGCCACAAATCAAGCTGATTCTCAGGACAGATGTAATGGACCCAAACAAATAAATTTAAATCGGCAATTGTCGGACATAAGCAGACTCTTACTGAAATGTGATTTAGACACCGAATCCCCTTCATGACTGACTGTCTCTCCTTCAGCCGCTGCAAGAACACAATATGGCCGCCGGACGTCCTACCCAGGCGCCACCGCGCTCCTTTTAGCCAATCAGAAGACAGATAGCGTGGCACGGTATCACTGCGGGGCTTAATGTACGGCTCTGAAACTGGGCTCCGTATCCCGCCATCTTGGCTCGACCGACCCAGCTTGTCCGCTTTTCTGTCGCTCGTCTTGTCTGTCTTAAATCACAATGATGATCAGTTTCCTAAAGTCTTCTTCGAAATGTTCAGTCGATATTCACTTTAAACAATGTCTTATGTGTTTGCCCGGGGAATGGTGGGATAGATTGAGTTACGAAGCGCATAGTTTCCTCATCAATTCAATTCAACATGCTTTATTGACATGACCGATGAGTAGAATGATAGTGTTCATCTCTGTGCACTAACTGTCCCGATGCAACTGCACTCAACAAAACAGCAAGACTTAAATGTATATACCTCTCTAGCACATGATGATGTGATTTCTAAAACTTCTGATGCATTTTAAAGCAATATTTTTTCCATATAATATATTAGTTTCAACTGTGTCTACCCGAGGATAGTCTTATTCGGACGTTTTCCGTGCATACTTTCAATACTGTAAAACAAATAATTTAAAATGTGACTCCATACATCTTAAGTAAATAGAATTCGATTATTCATTTCTTGGTCCCAATAGATATTTTCATTACAATAGCAGAACCAACGTCAATGCGCTCATGTTTCCTCGCCGTTCCTTTTCAAGGGTACGCAGAAATCTCCTGGCGTACTTCCGCTTCCGAGTGTATTAATTTGCGCGCACATGTCTCTCCTGTGGCATTGTGGGGGTCAATAAACGCTGGCGGGACGTTGACGGGCTGCTTAGTGCTGTTGTGACTACCACCGAAAAACAACATATTTGTGAAAGGTCCTCTGTGAAGCACACGCCGAGAGGACACAAGAATTAACCCAGATTGTCCGTTTGTCTGATCTCCTGCTGTAGCGATGGTAAGCAAGCGACCCGGGCGGTTAATTATGATCCCTCCCGGCGCGGAGAGGCGGCCGACAACCAGACTCCCAGCCCGTCTCTCGCAAGGCGTGTAGCCGTGGCTCTCTCTTGGCCGAGCCCTTCCGGACTCCGGTCCACCCTGCTCGTCCACCGCCTCGGATCGGGCCTGCGTGGCCGTGAACCGTGGGGCAGCCGGGGACGGGAGAGGTGGCGTGTTTGTGCGGGCTGCTGGAGCTCCGAACCACGTGTCTCGGTGCTGACTGGATGGTCGTGCTTGAATTGTCGGCTAAGTACAGGCGATCCTTTTTTTGTGTGCTAACGAATGGCTTGGTTTTTCACAGCGCACTAAAATCGGACTGGTGGGGTTGTATGCGGTGGATCTTGGTTTATAGCGCTCTCCATCACGTGCCTTTTAAAGGCGTTTTGAAATAGGCTGGGGTTTATTACGAATCTTGTTGATTCGAAAAACGAGGGGTGGTTCAGTTTATTATTGCGGTGTTTATTTGTCTCATCACTAATCCAGACTAGGATTGGGTTTACGGTTCTGCAGCGATCTAGTCTACTTTTATGGAATAAGTAAGAGATAGTGAAAGCGTGTGATTATAAGTGTGTGAGAATGTTGTCCCAGTAGTGTTCATGAGTGTTGGACAGGATGAGCCGTGAGTGCACGAGGAGAATTCTTAATCGAGGGTTCTGACCACCCGCTTCCTGTCTCCTCAGACTGACCCGGAAGTGAACCCCAAGGCCTACCCCCTGGCTGATGCCACACTGACTAAAACCATCCTGGACCTGGTGCAGCAGGCAGCCAACTACAAGCAGCTGAGGAAGGGAGCCAATGAAGGTCAGGAGGCCCGTGCTTTGATCTAGCTTGACTGCTAGATGGTTCTTTGGCTCTCTTTTTTTTTAACTTGCATGAACAGAGGGGAATAAAAGTTTGGTTTAGTACCACAACCACTCTCTTCAGGGGCCTGACTGTGGGTCTTTGAGCTGTGGAAAGTGCATGGCCCTAGCAGGTCAGCTGGTATGATAAAAGTGGAAAATGCATCTCCTTTCATGCATGGTCCACAAAGACAACTGGACAATGTCGGAGAACAGGAATAGACGATAAAACTGCCTGCGTCTGTCTTAAGGACGTATGTTGTTGCTGCGTTCACATAGCCAGCAGCAGCAGCAGTATTTTGAAGCGTCCTTCAAATGAGCCTTTAAATCACATTAAGCACATCCAGACTTTCAGGAGTTCCTGGCATTGTGCATCATAAATTTGATGTTTTTTTTTAACTTCCCACTTCATTATACTGCAAGTGCAAGGAATTGGGTACATTTAAATGAAAACAACCTGTTGTGCTTAAATTTCTGACTTGTTTTTCCCCCCACCAGCCACTAAAACCCTGAACCGCGGCATCGCGGAGTTCATCGTGATGGCCGCCGACGCCGAGCCCCTCGAGATCATCCTCCACCTGCCGCTGCTGTGCGAGGACAAGAACGTGCCCTACGTCTTCGTGCGCTCCAAGCAGGCCCTGGGCCGCGCCTGTGGCGTCTCCCGGCCCGTCATCGCCACCTCCGTCACCATCAAGGAGGGCTCCCAGCTCAAGCCCCAGATCCAGTCTGTGCAGATGGCGATCGAGAGACTCCTGGTCTGAGAGGGCAGAGTAGCACTGTTGATTTACTTTAGCTTGGCCCACAAGACGAGGGTGAGAAACGATGTTCTTGAAAGTATGTATATAGTTGGGGAGGGATGAAGTGAATTATCCTCTGCCCCTGGTTCCCAGAGTGAATGGACTTGGCTGTTGTCCTGTCATTCCAATCTGTTTACAGTATTTGTCAATGGAATAAGTGTAACTTGGGGAAAAAAAAATTTGGTTGTTTTTTTTTTTTTTAGACTATTAAAAATAAAATTTAAGTTTCAGTGTTGCAGTGAATTTAAAACAAAAATGATCAAGTTTTAGAGGGTATGACATTTCGAGATTCAAACTAAAGATTCAGTAGCAATGCAGCTCTGAAAGGTACCTGATGACCAATGGACCTTCAACTTGGGGGGAAAATCTAAAGCCACATCTGGAAGGTAAATTTGGCAGATGGATTGCAGTGGATTGGGGTATAAGTGAACAATGCCTTTAATGACTGGAATCTGTCCAGTTCCAAAGTGGACCATGCATTTCCTACTAATCTCATCTTGCATCAGGAAGACGAGTCTCGTGTGCCGCTCTGCTGGACTGCTGGCTCCACTCTGTTACACGCAGAGGTGATGAAGGAAGCAGGGGAAAGGGCAGCAATGTTTAAATTAGCTGACAGTTTTGTGCCGTAATACCTAGTTTAAATCCTGCGGAAGTATTTCAATACCAAGTGTGGCTTATATGTGGATGAACGGGTATGAAGTCTTGCAGGATTTACACACTCCATGCCATTACAAATCCATTAATGAAGCAGTAAAGCCATCTAAACCTTCAATAGCACTTTATTCCACAGAAACGTTATCTCTTACAAAAAATGAGTGAGGTTTAGGTAACCGCACTGAAATAGTAACAAAAGCACAGTGTTAACTCGCCACGTTTTAGAAGAAAAAGACTACCGTAAGTGAAAGGTTCAGCGGGGTTGTGGCAATACAATATTTCATCTGACTACCAAGACATAAAGGAAGAACTCGCAGCACAAGCTCGACCCAATAAAACCACTCTGGTCTGAGGCAGCTCCTTGCCTGCAGTGGCATTGGTCACCCTTTGTTCAGGCACAGCAGAAATAAACATTAACAGAAGGAACCGTGAGACAAAGTGTAAGGGAGCAGTAAGAGGCAAACAGACCTGACCATAGAGGGTTGTTGGTTCTGCAGTACTTACTTTACCAGGATTTCACCGTACTGCCTTAACTTAAGAGCAGCTAGTTCAGGATCATCACAAAAAGCCCAAAAGAATGATCCCTAAAGCACAATTATTTTAGGTGTGCTATATGAAACCACTCTGAAAGGCAAAAAAGCTACATGTTGCATACTTTGTGCTCCCTTCCCACTAATTTCACAATCACTAACAAACAGGCCACTCAGAATGCAGGATTGAGCAGAACAATTGGCACAATTCTTCAGAGAAAACACACACACCAGTGAACCAACAGCAACAGCTTCACCAAAACATTTTAAATACCCAATCAAAAATAACAGTTACTCACCAGCCAGCTAGATTAGAAAGTAGAGATGTCATTACTAAATGACAGTATTAACACTCATGCCACACCTCATTAAGTCACTGATATGCCCTTTAACTGAAGCACCTTACTAAGTATACTTAACGCAAAACATCCATGTAAGGAAAGCTCAGCACGTACACAATGTCTTCACTTGGCAATGAAAAATTCCAAAGGTCATGGCTCAGGACAGTGGGTTTTAAAAAAAACAAAACAATACAGTAATAAGTATTAATATAATTTCACAGTGACATAGGGGTTACAGGAGCAGCAAAGATGTCATTTAATCTGAAAGTGTCATGAGCACTGAGGTACTTCAGCTTTTTTCCTGCAAATGGGTGCTGATCAAAACCATTGAGAACAGCTGTATTCCATGCGCTTGGTTTAAGGACTTCAAATACAAGAAAAAGAGCAAAGAATCCTGCCTTGAAATAATTTGCATATCAAATTCCCCTTTTTACTGGTGTTTTAAACAACATAAATCTGTCCCTAGATAAGAGTTCACAGTTCACCTTCGATACTAAAACTGTAGATCTGACAACACAGCACAAACCTCACTGATTGTAAAGTCTTCTGTTAATACCATATGAGAAGCATCATATTGACATCCAATAGTGACAAACTGTTTTATGTTACACTGGAATTTGTAACTGGAAATACATAAATTGCCCTGAAATAAGCATCACTAATTTTAGTCTCATAATATTACAGTTATATTAAAGTAATTCTGAGATCATTCTTAACACTAGAAGGCATGCTGTTTATTGAAAATTGAAATGTACTGACAACCAAAGCCATGTTAGGAATATCAACTATTAAGATTAAGATCTAAAACTATGAGCTTCTGTCCAGGGCAACCAGTCTTTAATTAACCTGATAAAAAGAATTACTATGATTTATTACTGTAATGCACAAACCCATGCCATTGTGGCAAAGAGTTTATGATCATTGAAGTTATTGATTAAAACCGTACTGTTTGCATCAGGATAGGGAGTGACCGAAGTTAGGGAACGCTTCCCCGTAAATCAGGATACAGAAAGACTATTTTACAACATGTAGTGGCACTTATGAGTCCTGATCACATAACGTCTAAAACAAGTCACATCGATGAGCAAGGCAGCTGCAGACAGGTGAACCTGGCTAGTTTGTTTAAGGTAAGGAATCAAACCAAACAGGCTTGGTTTAGCGTTCACCTTTAAAAAATTTCGGCACCGCACAAAAACACAAAAGGAGGGTAACTTCAAGAATGACATCACTGAAACCACCTACATGACTTATTTTGGCCGTCTTTGCACTTAAAAAAAAGCAGGCTCCTAAAGGTTGTCTTGCCGCTGAAAAAACCCCGCGTGATGGATTTCCAGCGTGCTGTTGAGCTCGTGTGCGATTTCCTGTCCCTGCCGCTCCCCGCTGTGGTCACAGATTCAATTATCCAAGTGCGGCTGAGAGCTCCTAGCCTCCCCGCCCGCTGGCCACACATGGCAGCAACGCAGTGCCGGCTCCGCGGGCAAAACCAAGCACTCCTCCGGGGGGAGTTTTCCATTAAGCCGATCCGATCCCATGGATCATCCCGGGGAGCTTAACTCCTTGACAGACTGAACAGTGCGTGGCAACATGGCAACTAGGAAAAATACAAATAAAAAAAAAAAAACCACAGTAACACTTCGATCAGCTTCTGGGACCTACCAACAGCAGTCTTTTCCAGTCCAAGCCGTCCACCTGACCCCCACACCAGGCAGAGCTGGTCTGCTCTGAGGGTCCCAGCATGCAATGCTCCAGCTCCCCTGTGCGAGTTGAACTTCCTGCCGAGCGGGAGCCGGGTCTTTGGCGGAGTCTGGAGTCTGGGCTTCACGTGGCCTCCGGCCAGGAGGGCACTCAGTTCGCAGGGAACTCTCGGTCCGAGGCCATGCCAGGCCGGCAGGCGCCGCGGGCGTCCTTCCTCACCTGCAGGGACACGCAGCTCAGCCAGCTGCGGCTGGTGGGCATCTCGCCGACGATCTCCCAGGCGTCCGCCTCCTCGCAGTACCGCTCGATGGTGTCGTGGTACCTGGGGGGCACGGGCGGGGGTCAGACTCCGCGCAGCGCCAGAGCGCTGTGCCCGCCGGTGCGCACGGCGGGGTCACCCACCTGTCCCAGCCCTCCTCCCCTCCCAGCACATAGATCCGGCCGTCCACGACGGCCACGCCGGGCCGGTACCGCCTCTCCTTCATGGGGGCGCACATGGTCCACTGGTTGGTTTTGGGGTCGTAGCACTCCACCTTATCCGTGTTCTCCGTAGAGGCGTGCCAGCCCCCTGTCAGGGAAAGCAGGAAGTACAGAGGCACGAGAGAACAAACTCGGCCCAACCAAAGTCCCAGCCACCACCCGCTTGTTAAAATAACTAGATCAGACGTCCATGTTCGATCAAAGCATTAAGTGAAAAGAAAAAAAACTTGTCTTCTACCAGAATAGACCTGCCTTTTTTTGCACAGTGTGGGGTTTTACTATAATTCCCTCAATAATCACCGAAGACATGCTGAACAGAACAGCGATGACACTGAACGTTATTCTCACCGATGACGTAAATCTTGCCCTTCAGGATGCAGGCTGCGGAGCCAGAGCGGGCAATCTGCATGGGCGCCACCTCGGTCCAGCTGCAGAGCTTGGGGTTGTACACCTGGGCCAAGTCCATGCCATCGCCATCCTCCAGAACAGCTCCCCCTACAGGGCAAGAGGAGACGTACGCAATCCCTGGCCGTTAATGTGCCACGGCACTTACTGCCCGTTCAGAGGAGAGAGGAAGGCAGGACGGAGTCCTGTGTACACTCCCCTTCGTTCCCCAGAAGGGGAATTCAAACGCTTGTGAAAATACTTATCTGGCGAGATGGGCCTTAAGAAAAACATGGCCACATCTCAAGGGCACTGCAAACTTTAAAAAAGACTGTAGAAGTGAGCGATGGGCCGATGATGCGGTCTCAATGTGCTCAGGACATCGCTGGCCCGCACCCTGGGCTTCTGGGTGCTTCTCAGCAGGGCGCCGGCCTCTCGTACCCGTGACATACAGCAGCCCATCCAGGGCCACCACCGCTGGGCTGGTCACCGCCATCTTCATGGACTCCACGAAGTACCAGGTGTTGGTGTGGGGGTCGTAGCACTCCACCGAGTCCAGCCTGGAGTGGCCTTCCCAGCCCCCGACCGCAAACACGAAGCCGTCCAGCATGGCCAGCCCTGCGGGAGGAACAGACACGCCGAGCTCCTGTCACCCACAGATTCACCAGTTCACTCTCTCGCTCCCGGCGCAGACTCGTGCACGAATTCACTCTCTCGCTCCCGACGCAGACTCGTGCACGAATTCACTCTCTCAATCCCGGCACAGACTCGTGCACGAATTCACTCTCTCAATCCCGGCACAGACTCGTGCACCAGTTCACTCTCTCACTCCCGGCGCAGACTCGTGCACAAATTCACTCTCTCACTCCTGGCACGGCCTCGTGCACGAATTCACTCTCTCACTCCCGGCGCGGCCTCGTGCACCAGTTCACTCTCTCATTCCCGGCGCAGACTCGTGCACAAATTCACTCTCTCACTCCCGGCGCGGCCTCGTGCACGAATTCACTCTCTCACTCAATCATTCAATCATTCACTAACGCTTTGAAGAACCCTTCCAGAACCCTACCCTCACGTAAAATCCCAACAACAGGAGGACGGGTCACAACAGACCTGCAGTGATTCAACACCCACACAGACCCGGTCAAACATACTGTACAGCCGAGTACTAGGAAGATGCCCAGAGTCGTGCTTTTGCTGGGCTGCAGGAGTCACCCAACGCATCAAGGCTACCCATCCCTACGGCCCGTGCCGAGACGACGTCAAACGTGCCGCGTTGGGGCCCCCCCTGGAAGACCCCCGGGTGCCCACCCAGCTCGGAGCGAGCCACGTTCATGGGCGCCATCTCCAGCCAGGAGTCGAAGCAGGGATCGTAGCGCCACATCTCGCGGCTGGCGGAGCCGTCGGGGAACTCGCCCCCGGCCAGGTACAGCGTGGAGCCTGGGGGAAGAGCGGAGAGCGCGCTCAGGATGGCCGGGTCTCCCTCCACACTGCGGGGACACTTCATCCGGACAACAACTCATTTCAGCTTGCAGGGGGACACCCATCTGATCCTTGGTAAGCGAAATAAGTCACCGTGGGACACCGAAAGCCACCTCATTATCGATGTTGAAAACTGTACCGCCGATTGATTTCAGTGGTCATGGTTGCACATTCAAGTAGGGGGCTGCGTCAGCATGCGTAGCCGACAAAGGAACAAGTTAACGTTTATCCCATGCTGGAAAGGAGAGAGAAGAAAACCCCATGCTGTGTTTTGCCTCTCCTCCTCTCATGCCGTGAGCCCGGAGGACGAAACGCAGCCCGGGCAGGTCTCTGCGGTGGTACCTGACACTACCAGGCCGTGTTTGCTCACGGCGAAGGGCAGGCAGGCGAGCGACTTCCACTGGGCAGTGACGGGGTCAAAGCTCTCCACGCTGCGCAGGACCACCTTGTCGTCTTCCCCCCCGACCGTCACAATCACCTCGGCTGTGCCTGCGGAGAGACGCGCGGTCATTCCGAGCTGCAGGGGTTTCCCTTGGCTGGCCCCACCGAACCCCGAGACCTCCATCCATCAAACCACAGCCTCTTCACCCGCAAGACAGTCACGGCGATCCGGAGCCTAATCACGAACTCGGCACCAGGACACAGGGCTAGACTTGACACTGTCCGCCCTGCCACACCCAGAATGAGACACTGGCCACGGGGTACACGGGGGACATGTGTCAAGACGAAGGAAGAAAACCACTGGCACCTGCAGGAAAGTCACAGGGCTCTGAAGGTCTGAAGGCAACATGCCACAGAAGTAATACACTCGCACCGGCTGCTTTATCCACTCACCTCTTTTAATCACACACACACACACAAAATGAACAACAGGCTTGCACTATTCGGCTTGAAGGTAAAACCAGACAAGGATGAGGTCACTCCCCCGCGTCCGCTCACACGCCGGCAGGAAGTGCCCCAGGGGAGGGGGGCGGCGTACCGGTGGACCTGCGGGGCCGGGTCCGTGGGCCGAAGAGCTCCCCGCGCCGGTCCTGCAGCAGCATGTAGTCCTTGGCCTCGGAGATGAGCCTCTGGCACTGCAGGGACTCCCGGACCACGCCCAGGGACTCGATGACGTCGTGGATGTAGTAGGGGCTGATGAGGGGGAGGCGGACGTGCTCCAGCACCTGCGGGACAGCCCAGGCTCAGTTCCGCGCGCACGGGGCGGGAGCAGGCTGGAATACTCCGTGCTACACCGAGGCAAGGGGAACCCCCTCTCGGCCCCCCGCGATCATCCGGACAAACTCGCAGACGGCGTACTGTTCCCACACATCCCGACGGCAGGCACGTTCCACACCGGGGCCCCACGATGGACCAGCCTCGCGGCCTTCCAAACTCGCCGCAGCTTTCACTGTGCTGCCCAGGGGTCAGACTGCTGTTTGCAAAATCCAAGACAGAGCTACAGCTCTGGGCGCTAAATTGCTTACAAGCCCAGCAGGATTCAGTGATCGCCTGCAGGCCAGGGCGGCACTTAAGGGACAGTTGCCCGACAAATCCGCCTCCTCCGGAGGATCAGTGTTAAAACCTATTGAATAAAACGAGCCCCGATCCGAGAGCTTTAATAATCCTATTGTAGAGACCCGGCGGAGGTGTCTGTCCCTGCCTGGGCCCTGGCAGCAGCCTTCAGTGGCGTGAACTCACAACACTCCTGCTGCTCTGAGCCACACTGAGCTACTGCTGAGCTCAGAGGTCCAGCAGGCCCTGCACTTGCCCCCGAGACCACGGCGTTCAAGCTCAGAGACAGTTTAACTGATGCAATGAGCAGCACACCAAGCACTTTGTTATAACCAGCACCGTAGCCGATGCACTTATCCCGGGAAACGTCTATTCAATAAAGGCCGCGGCAAAGTTCGGCGACGAGACACCCTGGATACCTTTTCAAAGCTCTGCCTGCGGGAGGCGCTCTTCTCCAGCCACAGCATGACCGCCTCAAAGACAGTCTCCTCCTTGGGCACGTTGAGGTGATCGCTGGCGATTATCTCCGTCAGCTTGTCGGCAGACAGCGACAAAAACTCCTCCTGCCAGGGGGAAACAGAGCATCACCATCAGCACATACACTGGGACACAGAACACAGAACACAACGATGACACGGCTCTGAACAGGACCACTTAAAGCCCTTGGGGGTGGGAGTTTGCTGGGCTGGCCTTAGGTGATGTCGCTGAGGGACACGCCTCTCCTCCAATCAGAGCCGATCCTCCTGCAGGGGTGGCGGTGCCTGTGCCACGCTAAAGGGGGAGTGTCTTAATGGTGGGCGGGGCCAGGGGAGTGCCTACTCTTCCTGAATCTCCCCCATGTGCGGGCATGGGTTTCACAGCAACTTGAAACGCGGTCGGCTCTTCCAAATCGGCAGGTATAACACGAATAAAACAACGGGGAGGAGGCTGAGGGCAGTGGCCACCTGGCGGCAGACGGTGCTGAAGTGCTGCAGGATGTACTCCAGGCTCCGGCGCTCCAGCTCCCGGCAGGAGTGCGCCTCGGCGAAGCAGTGGATCCCCACGCAGTTCATCTCGTCCATCTGCCGCTCCATGAAGGTGCAGCAGGCCTCCCGCACGGCCATGATGTCCAGCAGGTTGGCGGCCGCCAGCAGGGCCTGCACGTTGGCCCTGGTGATGACCACCTCCGCGGTGTAGGCGTAGCTCACCAGCACGCCGATCATCTGCGGCTCCACCCCGCTGATGGACACCCTCTCCTGCCGGGACTCCATCAGGTCCGTGGAGAACATGGCCTGGGGGAAAGGGAGAGAGGGACCAGCAGGGCGTCTACCTCACTGCACGGGCACAGCTCTCGACGCAGACTCTGGGAAAACACCAGGGGGCCCTGGGCGAGAATCTCCTGAGCACACACAAAATAATAAAGGGGACAGGGATCGCACCCTTGACCCTGCTCAGAGACAGGAGAGCTAAATGCAAACGCCACCCCTCGGCAGAACTGCCCCCCCCTTGAAGTGACTTCACAGCCAAAACAGCTCCGTGAGATTCAGACTAGGTTGCACACGCTAAAATAAGCGACAGACTATACGTTTATAAAGGTTTCTAGGTAACTAGGGAAACTGGATAGAGAATGGAAGGGCATGGCTGGCCTCCAGGGTCTCTAACTGGGGTCCCCAGCTGATTAGAGGGGAGGGACTGTGCTGTTTCCCTTTCTCCAGAGGGGTGACTTCTGTTCCGTT